AGTGATTTTAGGCCTAAATCGCTCAATTAAGGATCTAAGAATTTTTCTACCAATTTTAGACTCGGGAATTTTCTCACCTAAGTTGAAACTAGAATTAACTATGTCATTTAAACTCGCATAGAATTCATCAAATATATCATCCTCTTTCATCATAATCTCTTCAAACCTTGTGGCCAACATCTACAACTTAAAATTTTTTACAGTCTGTGTTCCCTCATGTGTGGTCTGTAGAATATCCCAAACATCGTTAGCAACCTCACACATAGATACTCTTCTAAATTCTTCAGGGGACACTGACATAATTAGAGCATGTAAGGATTTGCTATTCCAGTCACATTCATCTAAGTTCTTCCTAGTCTAATTAGCAATGGGAGTGAAGATTGCTTCATTAGTAACCGTAGAACTAGGTGCAACCCAACCATTTTCAACAGTCAGCCATTTGAGCTCATCCATAGATTTCAAAAAGTCTTTCATCCTAACCTTCCAGTAGGTATAATTATTGTCATCAAAAATAAGGCGGGACAGATAATGGACTACTCATCTAGATAATATAGGTCAAGGAACGAATTAAGGCTCTGATGCCAATTGAAAGTTCATAGTTTACCAAATTACCGACTACTAAGTTAACAAATGGTTATTAATTATCTATTTTTAATTTTGACCCTACCTGCGGAATTAATCAATCAAATAACAAGTCACTTTTAATTGTTTCTAGATGGTTAATCATACAAGTCAATTATCCTATGTTTGAATACCGTAATAATAAAGAAAGCAATAAATAATGAACACCAATATGATGACGAAGAAATCCCAACTGGGTAAAAATTCCGGGACCAAGCCAGTTATCTCCACTATAAACAATGTGGGTTACAGTTCAATTCCAAACTAGTTCCACTAGCTGTTGTAAACCATGTCACTCCAAGATCTGTTGTTTCTCCATACTCACGATCTGCTACCGTCGATACTATCTAGCCAACCTGCTAGATCTCCCGATCTATCTCATATAGCTTCCAAAATCCGCAGTAACCTTCAGACTCACAATCATCTACACACGTCTCTTCCAAGTGTATATTTAGGAATCATATATTCTTGTTCTTCTTCTTGTGCTTGTAGTCCAACCTCTCTCAACGTCCAGAAACTTCTGAAGTCCAACTGAGAAAGTACCTTCCTCAAAGTGTCAAGGAAGTATGTGTTTTTGAATTCTTCAATTTGATGTTTTCTCCAACATGTGGTTGTATAAAATCAAGAGTGTTAGGATGAATTCAATGTATGAATGAATAGGCTTTTGAATATGTTATAGAGAAGAAGCACAATGACCAACCACCCAATTTTTGTGTACATGCTTGGATATTTATATGAAAGGGTAATAGGATTGAATGGGTAGGAAAAATCTGTTTAAAAACACAAACTAGGATTTTTCGGATCGACCTGTAGCTCGAGCGATAAGCTAGCGACAGGCGGGCGACACACTGTCGCTCGAGCGTGAGCTCAGCGACAGTCGAGCGACATGCATTCTATTTTTGTCGCTCGAGCAGCATCTAGTCGATAAGCTAGCAAAAATGTTGCTCTATGTTTCTCCTCTTTTCAAACTCGAACCCTAGACCTCATAACCCAATTTATACAAATTACACCCTAGGTCCTTGACTTTACAACACGTTACAAATCAGTCATTTTGTCTACAGAATAGCCAACACTAAAAACCTAACACTATCTTCTTCCCTCTCCAAGAACTAGAATAGCAGCCATGCAGATACTCCCACTCAATTATCTTCAACCTGTCCTTGTTCTAAGTTGTGAATCTGGCAAAATTATATGAAGCCATAGTTTGTAAGACAAAAAACATAAAATAAAATAAGGTTACACATGACTGGGTGATATCTTTGAAATCAATATAAAGATAGTGGTAACTATAAGAATTGCTTTTCCACCTCAACAGAGAATGTCTGTGAGAGTGCTTCGTGAAAGAATTGTTATCTATTGACCCAAGACCAGGAAAAAATGGGACTCGGGTTGAAGAAAATTTTCGAAGAACAAAAGCTACCTTGTGTGTGTGTGTCGATTAGCCCGGTGGCCAATGCAGAGACGCTATACTTAGAAATTTATTGACCAAGCTTGCAGAAATAAAAACCTTAATGAAACAGTTGTAGTTTCCTTGCCGAAGCTCAACTAAAAATAGTAATGACATTGTTGTGGTCCAAACGTCTCATAGATTTCATTACTCTTACTATTTCAGCCTCAATCTGAGGCTTCCTGGCCTCCTCCACCCTCTGTCTTGTCTCTGGACTTTGAGGCTTGAGGTTCCTTCTGTGCAGCTACAGGTCCAATCATCTTCACCTTTAGCATATTGCTCTCCAATATCTTTGCTTGTAATATTTTTCCCTTTAACACAAGCTGACTGTAGACACCTTTTCGAATCAGAATAGGGAATTTTAGTATCCTTCTCTATCTCCTTATAGCGAAGACAATTTAAACAGCATCAGGATGCACAATATTTGATATGTTGAAACATTCAGCTCATAGTTTTGTCCATTTCCAAAGTCGATGTCAGATCAGTCGAGCCCATGTTCGATTGCCAGCCGCGAGAACAATCTCCGACCTGTATGTGTCCCATTATGATACGATCACAACATCTCACCATTATTTATTTAGTTCTGTCGATTTCCACGTATCGAACATGTCACCATATTCAATGTAAATTAGAAGTACATACAAGCAACAAAATTCGGAAAAAAAGCAGAGGCATTAATAAAAATAATGAGAATATTTCACCAATAACTACTGTGCTATTAGTCACTCAGCATTCGTGTGTCACTAGTATATATCCCTAATATAAGTGCACACACGTCCAGATAGTAAGTGTAAACCCAGCTATATACGTCACACTTCGCCGTCAAATAACCAGTTCATCAGTGAGGATTTTAGTATATCTAAACTTGGGGAAAAAAAATTAATTTTCTTTTTCAACTGCAAAAGGAGTGGAGAAGAATCATTTCAAATTGCCGAAACTTTAACCATGTATTCCGGTGCAGCATAGCCGTTTGTACGCATAACTCAATGGTGCTTGAAAGTAGCTCACCGGTAAAGAGATACAATAGTAAATAGCTCACTTCTGGAAACCGACGACGAGTGATTAAAAAATATTTTCACTGGTAGTTAAAATTGTTACTACTTAATAACTAAATTTAAAATTGTATCTCAATGGTCACTGAAATATGTATCCTACTACCCATCATCACTGAAGTCGACATTATTTGTTGAATCTAACGGATGTTCCCACTTGAGTAATAGATGGGTGATATGGTGCATAGTTCAGTGATCATTGAAATACGTTTTTAAATTCAAGTAGCATTTGATATAGTTTAGTGACCATTCAAATAGTTAATCCGTTTAGTATAGTGGATGGGCCCGATAGGTTTGATCTCATTATTTTCAAAATATATTTTTCATTATTTTTTTTAATCACACATTTTTAATAAAATAATATTAAAAACAAATTCAATTTTTTTTAATCACGCACCATTTATCAATTTATTATTTTAAAATGCATTCTTACAATAAAATAGAACTCAAAGAGATTCTAAAGTAAAAAAGAAGTTAACTATTTGCTTAATTATCTTGTAAATGTTTGCTTTAGGTAGAAGTCTAAAGAAAGGATGATTATTGTTTGTACGGTGAACTCTTTTCGTCTGCTTTTTCTTCTGGTGCTGAGTTCAACATGGGATGGTTGTTCAATAAAGAACCTTTTAAAACGATAATAAAAAGGAATATAATTTTCTTTTTCTACTTTGTCATTATTATATAACTTTTGCATGATAATTCATGCTAAGAATAGTTGTCAAAAATTAAAAGTTGTACCTTTTCACATTATTAATGAGTTGGGACTTGAGAAAAGCATGAGACCTTGATACCCATCCAAGGATGAGTCCTTTTCTCATTAAACACTTGCCTGAGATGCATAAATAAACCTCTCTTTCTTCTAATTTATGCTCAACTAAAAACTCGTAAAGTCACGAGTGTACGAAGGGTACCTTCGTCAAAACTTCCTTTTTTTACTTTCAAAAAATTACTCAAACATATTCAAAAACAGTTTCTTAATCTCAATAACAATGTTTTTTTATTTTTCATAAGCCTCGTCAACCAGCCCGAAAGTATGTTATTAAAACTACTTAATTTCCAGAGAATTTGTTCTAATTCAAGTGGATGATTATTCTTATATGTTCTAATTTTTGCGGAAGAAAGAGAGAATTTATTATACCAAAAAATTAAAATTGTATATACAACATTTGATTCTCTTAATTTAAATCTGAACAATTCTTTCAAGTTTTTAATAAATACAACAATGATCAAATTGTTGTCTTGAGCCTACGAAGAGGCTACTTGTGGAGTATTTATACGAGCTCAATCTTGAAGTTATGGATGAAGTAGAGTCCTCTTTATCCATTCCAAATTCCTTATCATAATCAAACTCTCAATCTATTATGAAATTTGATCCCTTATCTATCCGAAAATTTAAACCAAAATTATCTAGACTTCCTCCATTAATCAAACTTTCAAATCACATATAATTTGAGCCACAAAAGATTACAATCTCTATACGCGAAAAAGTTAAACAAGAAATTACATGCGTGACATGCGAGTATTTAATGCACTCAGTGGAAAAAAGTTTTTTTTTTTTGTTTCTCTGGGATTAGAAAATAATTAATTTGAGATATTATTATTTTTTTAATATGCTTGTTCGTAATGTACATTCACTCATTCAACACAAGAAATTATTTTCAGAAATATATAGCATCCACTGGTAAAGATGTGGCCCTATGAAGGGGATGTGAAAGCAAGGTACCAGTACAAAAATTCTTGGCAGTGATCATATGTACTGGACTAAAATAATCAAAAGTAGATTCATAACTCTGAACCTTTTGGGTAGCACATTTGTTTCCTGCATCAGCTGGGAAAAATGAGGTCGAACACTTGTCTTCTTGCGACAGACTTGAGGAGCTCGGTGACAATTTATCCTTCTCGTTATTGGACTTCAAAGTTGAAGAATTTGACACGATCCCCTTATGTTGATCTCCAAGTTTAAGCTCTCTCATCTGCATTTGATACTTGGCTTTAAGCCACCTCAGTTTGTGCCTTACTTCATTCTCTTTATCTTTTTCTTGAGCCAAAGGAGACTTATCGTCCTCCTGGTCGATCCTTATGATCTTCTCGTTCTTATTGTTTGTTGACTCGTGAAAGATTCTGTGTTCATTACCAAAGTGATTGTCACTGGAAAAATTTGAGACTAATTCAGGACCCTCGTGTTGTGACCATATATCAGAGTAGAGTACACCAACCGATTGGCTTGATCCCATAGGAGCTCCTTCTGTAACACATTGTTCCGACCCTTCAAATCGATACGTGATTTCTTCGAAACGGCCATGTATAGCACCACATCCATGCTTAGAACATTGAAGAACTTGCAGGTTCTTGCCTAGGTCGTGTGTGGATAAATATTCAACAAGAGAACCATTCAAAGAACAATTCTGACAGCAATTACTGTTTGAGTGATCGATACTTTCGTGTATGCCATAGTCCCGTTTCCATTCGGGTACTAAGGAAGCAATCTCACTGTCGATCATCTCGGCTATCTTAGTCACATCTTGATCCGTGATATCCAACTCGGCAACCATTTCCGTAGCAACACTAAGGGAAGTGTCAGTTTCAATGTCAAAAGGGAAATAAATATTTCGAACACGGCCTGCAAAAGATCAAAATACATTTCAACATTCAAACTAAGCGAAAACAAATTATATTTTGACTATTTCAATGAAATAAAGAAAAACTTAAACTAGACCTTCTTGATCTGCAATTCTGAGTCTCAGAAAGATGTTATCGTCTTCCCTAATGTCCACATTTCCCAAGTTATCATCCTCATGACTTGTGAAAAGGTCTATTTCATGAGCATCATATTCAACTGAATGGCAATCTATTCCATTTTCTTGTTCATAGCCAAGATAATTGGAGCATGCTTCAACTAGAAAACTGTTACTGTGAGGTTGTCTTAACATAGGACCTGGTCCATCATAATCTTCGTAAGAATCAAACAGCCTCAAATCAGAAACACAATCATCCATTTGGAGAAACGGATCATCGAGAAGCTCCCTAGCAGACAGCCTGTGAGACGCCATAGCCAAACATTTCTCAACAAATTGACGCACCTCAGGATCCCTAACTTTGTAAAGAGCATCTGGTTTCTTTCCCTATAGAAAACGAAATTATTTTGTTAACTCAAGTTTCTGAGGTCGGTTTCCAATGGGCAAAATTGACAATGATACGATGTATAAACTCTTACAGAGATCACTTTCTTATAAATTTGAGCAGGATGAGTGCATTCGCTATAGGGATACTCAAATGTCACCATTTCCAAAACGCACATACCAAATGAATAAACATCGACTAATTCATTGTATTCCTCTGCATATACCTCTGGAGCCATAAACTCCGGCGTTCCTGAGGGAACCAATACGACACCATATGATCCGATCCTATTATTTTCAATCAATCAATCAATTACGGAGATAAGTTAACCGTTTACCTACACAACGAGCAGCGTGGGATTTCCGCAGTATCGCAGCTAAGCCAAGATCACCAATCTTTACTTCTCCTTGGTTTCCATTAATAAAAATGTTATCACACTTGAGATCTCTATGTATAACAGGTGGATCATGGGTATGGAGATAGTGAAGTCCTATCAAGATCTGCCTACACCACTTCTTCACTGCTCTAATGTTAACCCTCTTATGTTTCAGCCTATACCTAGTTTAGATTAATGGTGAATATTTGCAAATACCCAAATTAAAAAATCAGAAAGAAACAATTAGTACTTACTGTCTGAGAGTACCAGAGGTGAACATTTCTGTCACAAAATTGATGTTCCTGTTGGTAGTATCAACCCAGGAAGCGTAGAACTTCATAATATTCCTGTGTTTCAGAGTCTTGAGGAGATGAATTTCACAATACAATCTCTCCAGATCCTCTGGTCTTTGCAGAAAATCATAGAGCTTCACCTGGTTCCAGGCTACTTCAATCCCTTCATATTCATCGAACGCTCTGTAACTGGAAAACCCAGAAAATGTCACAAAACCAGACGAATTAGAACACCGATAGACAATAAATTTGTGTTCCACTGCAGAAAAATAGCTACTACATACACTGTTTTTGAAGCCCCTTTACCAAGAACTTCATTATACTGCAAACAGAAAAGGCCAAAAAAAAAAATAATAAATTCCAACATTAAACACATCAAAGAAATTTAGATCTGTACAAAAACAAGGCATATCGCAATTCATACCCTTCCATATCTTCCAGTAGGATCAACTTCGACAAACTCAGAATCATTTGACTCAAGATTAATGACACCATTCATTCCTTTTATGTAAACAAAGAAAGACACAGTTGTTGTACTATAATGTCTGGTTTGTTCT